GGGCCGGGGGGGGGGGGGGGTCACACAAGGGGGGTGCCCCCCGTGCCCCCCTCCGCCCCCACCGGCGGGGGTCGCGCTCCCGGCCCCTCCGAGCGGCGCGGGGGGACACGCGTGGGAGCGGCACGCGCGGGGGTCGCGGGGGGCGCGGGGGTCGCGGCCTGTGTGCCCCCCCCGCCCCCCCGGGCCATTTGCAGCCGCGGCAGCTGCCGGGGATTAACGCGGCCGGGATTAGGGGGGATTTGGGAGGGGGGCGAGGGTCGGGGGAGGGGCAGCGGGGGGGCGGGGCTGCTCCGCCCAGCGCCCCCAGTATAGACCAGTATGACCCAGCTGTCCGAGCGCGTCCCAGGACAGCGCGCAGTGCTCCCAGTACATCCCAGTAGCCCCAGTGCTCCCAGGGCACCCAGCTCTCCCAGCACGCCCAGGATGTCCCAGGATGTCCCAGGATGTCCCAGTGCACACCAGTTCGCCCGCTGCCAGTGCTCCCAGTGCCGCCCCGTGTGCCCAGCGCTCCCAGTACACACCAGCCGCACTCTCCCGGTGCCCCCGCGCCCCGTGGCGGTGTCGCCGCGCGGTGCCACCGCCGGAGGTGACCCGCCGGTGCCGGTGACCCCGGGGATTAGCGACAAACGCCCGCTCAAGCCTCTTAGCGGGGGCCGCCCACGGCCGCGGGGTCACGCGCGGGGGAAGGGCACCCAGGGGACCCCCAGGGCCCCCCTCGGGACCCCCGCGCACCCCAGGGCCCCCCGCGGCACCCCGGCCCCCCTCGGGACCCCCGGCACGGGGACCCCGCGGCACCCTCGTGGCACCCGGGGGCGCCCAGGGGACACCCCGCAACCCCCCGGCCCCCTCCCCACGCGGGACAGGGGGACGCCCGCCCCCCCCATGGGGCCGCGCCGCTTAAGGGACGCGGCGCCTTTAAGGGGCGTGGTCAGGGAGACACCGCCCCCAGGGGCGGGGCCACGGCAACGCGGGAAACGCCCAAATGGGAGCGGGGATGGGGGGGGCGTGACAGCCCCCCAGGATGTCCCAGTGACACGCAGTGACACCCCCAGTGAGCCCCAGTGACACCCAGTGTGAACCAGTGACCCCCAGTGACAGACCCTCTGCATCCCAGCGACCCCCAGTGTCCTCCCAGTGTCCCCCCAGTGTCAGACCCTCTGCATCCCCTCTGGACCCCCAGTGTCCTCCCAGTGTCCCCCAGTGCCCCCCCAGTGTCCCCCCAGTGCCCCCCCAGTGTCCCCAGTGCCACCAGTGCGTTTCCAGGCGTTTATTGCGCCCCCGGCCCCCCTCAGCACTCGATGGAGTCCTCGAGCAGCTGCAGCAGCGGGGGGGCCCCTCGGGGGTCGCCCCCCGGCGCCTCCTCCAGGCTCTCCTCGCTCAGCTCCTCCAGCGCCGGCAGCGGTAGTAGAGCCGGGGGGGGCTCGGGGGGGACTTGCCGGCCTGCACCTGCGGGGGGACAGGGGGTCAGGGGGGCAGGGACCCCCCCACGGGACCCCCTCCCGCGCGGGGACCCTCCTTGGGACCCCCCAGCATCCCATGGGGTCCCCCCTGCGCGAGGAACCCCCCACGGGGACCCCCAAGCCCTGCCCAGACCGGGGACCCCCCCGCGTGGGACCCCCCCGGCACAGGGAGCTCCCCAGCACAGGGACCCCCACCCCCCACGGGACCCCTCCTGCTGGGACCCCCGGGCACAGGGGACCCCGCATCCCCCTTTTGGGGGGGCTCAGAGCAGGGTGACCCTCCCCCCCCAGCATTTTTGGGGGTCCCCGCCGTCCCCCCCCACTCACCGGCTGGAACCACCTCAGGCTCTGTGGGGGGGAACGGGGGGGTCAGCTGGGAAACTGAGGCACGGGGGGGCTCCCTCCTTCCCGCAGCCCCCCGAGCCGGGCACCCCTTGCAGCCCCCAGACCTGGGAGCCGCCTTCCCACGGCCCCCCCAAACCAGCAGAGCCCCCAGCCCACAGCCCCCCCGGAGCCAGGAGACCCCCTTCCTTCCCAGCCCCCCAAAACGGGGACCCCCTTTCCCCCACCGGAGGGTCCCCGGCCCCGCAGCGCCCCCCTGGACCCGGGGACCCCCCACCCCGGATGGGGGTGCGGGAGGTGTGGGGAGGGCTGGGGGTCTGCAGCGGTTTGGGGGTGCGGGGAGCTTTGAAGGTTCGGGGGGGGATTGAGACCGCCCCCGCCGGCAGCCCCCGCCCGGCCGCCGGCTCCGAGGGGTCCCGCGGCGCTGCGCCACAGAGGGGACGCGTCAGGGCCGGGACAATCCCCGGGGGGCTCCGGGGGTCCCGGGTGGGCACGGCACAGCCCGGGGGGAGGGAGTAACCCATCCCGGGGGGGACCCCTCACGGTACGGGGGCGGCCTGGGGACGCTGTGGGGGGCTCGGGGAAAATCCATCCCTGGGGGGACAGAGCTGGGGGGCTCTCTTCACTGGGCAGGGGTCTGGGGACACCCCATCACCGGGGGACACGGGCAGGGGGCCCCTTTTCACGGGGCAGGGGGGTCTGGGGACACCCCATCACCGGGGGACACGGGCAGGGGGCCCCTTTTCACTGGGCACGGGTCTGGGGACACCCCACCACGGAGGGACAAGGGCAGGGGTCTGGGGACACCACATCACGGGGGAACACAGTGCTGGGGGGCTCTCTTCACTGGGCAGGGGTCTGGGGGACACCCCTTCACCGGGGGCAGGGGGTCCCTGGGGGGTGCCCAGTGCCGTGGGGCAGGGGGGTCCCTGTAAAGGGTCCCTGGGGGGGTGACCCGGTGCTGTGGGGATGGGGACGGTCACAGAGGGGTCCCTGGGGATGGAGACGGTCACAGAGGGGTCCCTGGGGATGGGGACAGTCTCAGACGCATCCCTGGGGGGTTTCTGGGGGTTGCTCCCCCCTCCGTACCCGCCTGTCCCGGCCACAGCACCTCCAGCTCCACCGTCGTGTTGGAGGTCTCCCCTGACTCCTCGTCCCGCGCCAGCACCTGAGGGCAAGCAGCACGGGGGGGACAGGGGGACATGGTGGTGACAGGGGGAACGCAGGGACGTGGCTGTGCCACCCGGGGGACGCACACCGAGGTGCCCCCAAGCCTCAGTGTCCCCCTGTCCCACCCCGTGTCCCCTTTCTGGTGCCACCCAGCCCCTGGTGTCCCTCTGGTACCCACAACCTGCAGGCCCCACCCCTCAATCGCCCCCCGTGCCCCCTGCCCCCGGCCCCCTCACCTGCAGGCGGTAGCTCTGTCCGGGCCGCAGCTGGTCCGCCTGGGCCACCAGGAGCCCGTTGGGCATCACCTGGAACAGCTGCTGGCTCTGGTTGGCGCCGGGGCTCAGGGTGTAGCGCACCTGGGGGTTCACCCCCTGCGGGGGGGGTCAGCTCCTGCCCGCACCCCCTCCCCAGAACCTGATCACTGCCCACTCCTCTGCCTGTGATCCCCACCTGCCATCCCTGTGATCCCACCTGTGATCCCCACCTTCATCCTCACTACCTCCCTGCCTTCATCCCCCCACATCCCGCCTTCATCCTCACTGCCTCCCTGCTTTCATCCGTACCTGCATCTCCACCTGCATCCCACCTTCATCCCCCCTACATCCCACCTTCATCCTCACTGTCTCCCACCTTCATCCCCACCTGCATCCCACCTTCATCCTCCCTGCACCGTCCCTTCACCCTCGCTGCCTCGCTGCCTCCGTGCCCACCTGCAGCCCTCCCCGGCCCCTGCTGCCCTTCCTGCCCCGCTGCCCTGCGCGCACCTCGGGGAAGTCGGGGTCGTGTGCGCGCAGGGCGAGCGCCTCTCCGCCGAAGGTGAGCAGCAGCGCGGCGCGGCGCGGCGCGGCGGCCACGAAGGCGCGGTAGCGGGCGCGGGGGAAGCGCGGCGGGTGCCGGTTCGGGGCCAGGACCCGCACCAGGGCCCGCGCCACCGCGTACTTGGAGGGGTCGTTCACCTGCGAGGCCTGGGGGGACACGGGGGGACACACGGCTGTCACCCACTGCCCCCAGCTTCCCGCACCCATGGGCGCTTCCCGGAGCACCCCGGGCAGCTCCCAGCACCCCCGGGACCCCCGTGTCCCCCTCCTCGCCCACCATGACGCTGAGGCAGATCTCGGGGGTCTGGCGGCTGCTCTCCACCGCCCGCAGCAGCGTGATGGCCCCGGTCACGTTGTCGATGTGGAACCTGCTGCTCTCCTGACCTGGGGGGGCACAGCCGTGGGCACCCCGAGACCCCTCCGCCCCCCGGACCCCCCAGCTGCCTCCTGCCCCGGGGCACTGTGGGAAACTCCCCTGGGGCAGCCCCGAGGGAGGTCCCTGGTGTCCCCCCCATCCATTCCTGGACCTTCCTGGCGGGGAGAATCCCCTTATTTTGAAGGTGGGGGACACGCACAGGGAGGGCGTTATTAACCCTTTGAAGCCCAGTATGGAGGAGGTTTAACCCCTCTGGTGCTGCAGCACCCTTGGGTGCACCAGGGGCTCACCCCACCCCGCACCCCCCGCGCCGGGGGGGGGGGATTAGGGCCCCCCCAGCTCAATCCCTTTATTCAATTTGCCCCAGTGGATCTGGCAATTGGATTGTGCTGACTTGGATCCCCCCAGCACAGGAACCCCTGGAGGGGACGCCCCCTCCCCACAGACCCCCACCATCGGCAGTGCCAGGGACTGGGGGGCGCAGGGTGGCCCTGGACCCACCCCAGGCACCATGGCCCCTCTGTCCCCCATGTCCCCGCCCACCACACCCCCGTCCCCGTGTCCCACCTGCGCCCCTGCTGTGGTGTCCCTGTCCCCGTGTTCCTGCCCACGCGTCTGTGCCTGCCTGTGTCCCCGTGTCCCCACCTGTGAGCGTGTGTCACTGCCTGCATGTCCCTGACCCCCGTGTCCCCCCTACCTGCCAGCAGGGAGTAGGTGATGGCCGCCCGCAGCCCCCTGTCCCCGTCCTCGGCATAGACGGCGCCGGGGCTGAAGCTCAGGGGACCGCCCTGGGGACAAGGAGGGGACACGGAGGTGTCCGGCCGAGCCCTGCGGAGCCCCCCGCCCCCGCGGTGTCCGCAGGGTGCCGTGCCCCACCTGGAGCTGGCCCTCGGTGACGTTGGCGGTGTAGACGGGGCTGGTGCAGACCGGGGGGCTGTGGGGGGCGCGGGGGGTGCAGGGCAGGAACTGGGGGTACTGGTCATCCCCGTCCAGCACATTGACCCGCACCCGCGCCGAGGCGTTGAACCGCTCCCGGGTGTTCATCTCCTGGGGAACAGCGGGGCACGGGCCGCCCCAAAACCGGCTGGGGGGGCACACAGCGGCACGGGGACCCCCAGGGCACGGGGACCCCCGGGGGCCCAGGGAGCCCGCGGGGAACAGGGACCCCAGTGCGAGGTGACCCCACGGGCACAGGGACCTCCATGGGACACGGACCCCCATGAGACAGGGACCCCCGTGTAAAGGGGGTCTCGAGGGACAGGGACCCCATGGCACAGGACCCCAGAGGCACGAGGACCCCCACGGCACGGGGACACCCCAAGGACCCCCACGGGACAGGCACCCCCGTGTGGGGGGGCGGGCTGGGGGGGACCCCACCTGTGCAACCCACCCGCGGCGTGCCCGTGCGGGGGGCGCGACCCCGAGGAGGGGCGGGGGGCACGGGCCGGGGCTGGGGTCCTCCCCGGGCCCCCGTTCATGAGAGTGGGCAGGGGTCCCACAGGCGGGGGTCCCGTATCAGGGTCCCGCACCGGGGTCCCTCAAGTGGGGGGCTCACAGAGGGGGGGTCCCATGTCCGAGCGCCTCGGGAGAGGGTCCCACGGCCATGGGGGGAGACGGGAGGCGCGGGGGGCCCGCAGCAGGGTCGGGGGCGGGCGGGGGTCTCACCACGGCGGTCACGACCACCTCGAGGTGCCGCCGGCTCTCGAAGTCGAGGGCCCGCGCCAGCACCACGCGGCCGCTGTTCGGGAGGTCGATGCGGAAGAAGCGCGCGTCGGGCTGGGGGGGGTCGGTCAGGCCGGCAGATGGCCCCGGCCCCCCCGCCGCCCCCCG